ATACAGTGATCTCCATTTTCACATTGCAGCATCACATCTCCACGTCTTTTTATCTCTACAAGTGATCCATCTCCGAACTTCCCCGTGCCGGTCACTGACTCGTTCAATTCCGAGAACCAACTTCGACAACCAGTCATATGATTGCTGGCTCCCGTATCTAGGAACCAAGTGTTGTTTTTCTTCTCGATTTCTTCCGGGACAACCTTCTCTTCTTACAGAGCCATCTCCGTCAACTCTAGTGAACCAGATTTCAGACTTCACAAACTTGTGCTGTAAGTAAGACTGACTCATCCTCATCACCTTGCATCTCAGTCAAGTGCGCCTGATCCTCCCTTTTTTTCGATCTACAGTGGGATACATAATGGCAAATCTTTTGACAATTATAACATTTCACCTTCCGACATTCTGAGGTATAGTGGCCTAGGTCTTGACAATTGTAGCCTTTTACCTTGCTCTTGTCACGCTTCTTCTCTTGATGTAACGAGTCATTTCCACGCCCATGACCTCTCCCTCTCCAGCGACCACTGTGACCTCGTCCTCGGCTATGGCCTCCATTTTCGCTACGTTTTTTCTCGAACGTTGAAATTTCACCTTAGCCTTTCAGTTCTTTTGCTTTCCATTCTCCTTTTGTAAATAAGACATGCTCAGCATTCTCTTTGTTGCCACCGATCCGTTCCTCGTATGCTTTAAGACGGCCGATGACTTCCTCCATGGTCATCACCTTTTAATCGGCAAATTGCTCTATTGCCGATGCGATATGAAGAAACTTAGAAGGTACTGAACGGAGAAATTTTTTCACCAAGCATGCCTCTTCAAGGTTGTCTCCAAATGTACGTATTTTATTAACAACTCCTGTCAATCTTGCTGCATAATCATCAATAGTCTCGGACTCCTTCATATTCATAACTTCGAACTCAAAATTCAGAGTTTGAATCTTTGCGTCCTTTACACGTTCAGCACCCACATGAATAGTTTTTAACGTCTGCCATGCTTCTTTTGCTGTCTCTTTCTCTGCTAACAAAAACAACATCTCCTCAGGGATTGCTTGATAAATAGCTGCTAAGGCCATTTGATCCTTCCTTTCGTTAAGACTATCTAGAGACTCAGTTGATTGGATTGGTTCCCACACCCCTTGGGCACGCAAATAGACCTTCATCTTCATAGCCAATGCTGACTAGTTGGTTCTCGATAACGTCGGGTATTGGAGTGATACCAGACCTTCCTTTGTTGCGGACTTCGACGGCTCTCCTCGCTCTCCAGTGTTGTTATTATTTCTCGGCATGATCTTTGGCATCTAACCAGTGCTCTATCACTATAATTGTCACTTCTATCACTATAATTGGACCACACAAATCGTCATGCACCAATTGTAGAACACTAACGGCTCGAAAATTCGCTTGCTGTGGGAATGGTGTTCTTCATTGTTTAGTGATTACACAACTATCACAAAGTTGTTCGATCCTTTCAACATGTGGAATTCCTTTCACCATTTGTTTCGTAGACAGGTTTCTTAAAGCCTCAAAATTCAAATGCCCATATCTAGCATGCCACAACCAAGAATCTTGAGACAACTTACCAAGTAGACATGTTGGTTTCGTTGTTTTTAGGCTAATTGTATATAGTCTATTTCTTGACTGCTTCACTTTTGCCAAGTACTCCTTTGCCTTTGTGAAAATGACAAGTAAACCATGTTCGATCTCAACTTTACAGCCCTGTTCATCCAATTGTCCTAAACTTATAATGTTACTTTTATGTTTAGGAATGAATTATACATCGGAATGAATACAGTGATCTCCATTTTCACATTGCAGCATCACATCTCCACGTCTTTTTATCTCTACAGGTGATCCATCTCCAAACTTCGTCACTAACTCGTTTAATTCCGAGAACCAACTTCGACAACCAGTCATATGATTGCTGGCTCCCGTATCTAGGAACCAAGGGTTATCTTTCTTCTCGATTTCTTCCGGGACAACCTTCTCTTCATAAAGAGCCATCTCCGTCAACTCTGGTGAACCGAGAGTTTGGACTTCACAAACTTGTGCTGTAAGTAAGACTGGCTCATCCTCATCACCTTGCATCTTAGTCAAGTGTGCCTAATCCTCCCTTTTCTTCGATCTACAGTGGGATGCATAATGGCCAATCTTTTGACAATTATAACATTTCCCCTTCCGACATTCCGAGGCATAGTGGCCTAGGCCTTGACAATTGTAGCCTCTTACCTTGCTCTTGTCACTCTTCTTCTCTTGATGAAACGAGTCGTTTCCACGCCCATGACCTCTCCCTCTCCAGCGACTACTGCGACCTCGCCCTCAGCTATGGCCTCCATTGTCGCTACGTTTATTCTCGAACGTTGAACTTTCACCTTTGCCTTTCGGATCTTTTGCTTTCCATTCTCCTTTTGTAAATAAGACATGCTCAGCATTCTCTTTGTTGCCACCGATCTGTTCCTCGTATGCTTTAAGACGGCCGATGACTATGTCGATGCGATATGAAGAAACTTAGAAAGGTACTGAACGGAGAAATTTTTTCACCAAGCATGCCTCTTCAAACTTGTCTCCAAAAGTACATATTTTATTAACAACTCCTGTCAATCTTGCTGCATAATCATCAATATTCTCGGACTCCTTCATATTCATAACTTCGAACTCAATCTTCAGAGTTTGGATCTTTGCCTCCTTTACACGTTCAGCATCCACATGAATAGTTTTTAACATCTGCCATGCTTCTTTTGCTGTCTCTTTCTCTGCTAACAAAAACAACATCTCCTCAGGGATTGCTTGATAGATAGCTGCTAAGGTCATTTGATCCTTCCTTTAATCATGACTATGCAGAGACTCAGTTGATTGGATTGCGTCCCACACCCCTTGGGCACGCAAATAGACCTTCATCCTCATAGCCCATGCTGAGTAGTTGGTTCTCGATAACGTCGGGTATTGGAGTGATACCAGACCTTCCTTTGTTGCAGACTTCGACGGCTCTCCTCTCTCTCCAGTGTTGTTATTATTTCTCTGCATGATCTTTGGCATGTAACCAGTGCTCTGATACCAAATGACAAAAAACACACATACGAAGAAGTGAGTTTTTGCACAATAACATTATTCTCTAAGAGAGACAATACTTAGAAAATAAACAAAACTAACTTACTTATTTTATTCAACTTGTTACACAGTTCATATATAGACAGAAAGAAAAACTAACTTCTTACAATCTTAGCCACACATTAATAACTGCTAATAACTTCCCTTGATCTTATCCACAAATACTAAAACTGACATAATTTAAAATACAAACAGTAAATACGAATGAATTACGGTTAATACAAGATTAAATAAACTAACAGATCCAGCATTAATGGAGAGGAGCAAGTTCTAAAAGTCGAAGGACGAACAAAAATAAGTAATGGAGGAAGAGGAACTTACAGGGGCAAAGAACGTGGAAGAGGAAGATCAACTTTCAACAAAGCAACGGTTGAATGTTATAGGTGTCATGACTTAGGTCATTTTCAATATGAATGTTCAAAGATGAATAAGGAATTGAATTATGCAGAGCTGGAAGAAGAGGATTAAATGCTGTTAATGGATCATATGGAAAGACATGAAGCAAAAAGGAGTGATGCTTGGTTCTTAGATTCTGGTTGCTCAAACCATATGTGTGCAAGTGAAGGTATGTTTTCAAGCTTAGACAAGACATTTTCCCACATTGAAAAACTTGGAAATAATACAGGTAGGAAAGCTATGGGAAAGGGTGTAGTGAAATTAACTTCGCACGGGGTTCGTTGCACTATTAGTAATGTGTATTGGGTACCTAAACTAAAAAATAATCTCTTGAGCGTTGGACAACTACAAGAAAAAGGAGTAGCAGTGCTGTTTGAAGATTGTGTATGTAGCATTTATCATCCACAAAAAGGAAAAATAGCAGAGTCAATTATGATCGCAAATCGGCAGTTTATTTTGGGTACTGAACCATCTACCACAACAAATGAAGGAAGATGCCTCCAAGTTTCAAATACGGACCAGTCAACACTTTGGCACCATCGATATGGTCATCTCGGCTACAAAGGCTTGTGCACCTTGAAACACAAAAACATGGTGAAAGGCCTGCCACAAATTGGGGCTCCAAACACCACCTGTGAGGCATGTATGAAAGGCAAGCAACATCGGACTCCATTTCAAAAAATGGGTAAATGGAGAGCAATGGAAAAATTAGACTAGGGGAAAACATTGAAATTGATAATGTTAAAGATCACGTATTTGTTTAGACTGTTGTCAGTTAGTATCTAACAAAATCTCCGTGAGGAGTTAGGAGTTAGATTTAGTTCTTGATTTGATTTAGTTTTGATTTGATTAGATTTTGTTTTGATTTTTTTATTGGTTTGTTACTAGATTTTCTGCAGATTCTTAGGTAGATTTTCTAAATATCTTTTTGTATTCTCTGTATATATATAGAGCATTCTTTCTCTTCATAATTCAATTATCTCATCAATCATTCAATCAATCCCTCTTTCACTAACAATTGGTATTAGAGCTATCTTCTTAAGGGATCTGTGAGATCAAAATGGGAGGAGAATCCAGTTTTTCCGCTGTTGCACCACCAGTTTTTGATGGAGACAATTATCAAATGTGGGCAGTTTGTATGGAGACTTATATGGAGGCCTTGGATCTTTGGGAAGCAATAGAAGAGGATTACGAGGTCCCGCCGCTTCCAGCAAATCCTACTGTAGCACAAATCAAAACAGAAGGAAAAGAAGACAAGGAAATCAAAGGCGAAAGCTTGTCTATTTGCCGCTGTATCTCAAATGATCTTCATGCGAATAATGTCCCTCAAAACAGCAAAAGAAATCTGGGATTATCTCAAGGCCTAATATGAAGGAGATGAGAGGATTCGAGGAATGAAAGCCCTAAATTTGATTAGGGATTTCGAGTTGCAGAAGATGAAGGAGTCTGAATCGGTGAAAGAGTACTCTGACAAACTTCTCAACATCGCCAACAAGGTGAGATTGCTTGGTTCTGTATTAAATGATTCCAGGATCATTGAAAAGCTGCTAGTCACTGTTCTAGAGAAGTTTAAAGCCACCATTACTACTCTGGAGAACACCAAAGACTTGTCAAAGATTTCTCTTACAGAGCTCTTGAATGCTTTACAAGCACAAGAGTAAAGGAGGTCTATGAGGCAAGAAGGGGTGATTGAAGGTGCCTTACTTGTTAAGCATCAAGACAGCAGCAAGTATAAAAACAACAAAAATTTCAAAAATCAATTGACGTATGGAGATTCATTTGCCAATTATCAAAAGACAAAAGGAGGAGGTTTCAAAAAATCCTATGCACCTTGCCGCCATTGTGAGAAGAAAGGTCATCCACCATACAAGTGTTGGAGAAGACCTGACACCTTCTGATCCAAATGCAATCAACTTGGACATGAAGCTATGATCTGCAAAGCCAAAGATCAGGTGAAAGAAGTAGATGCACATGTAGTTGGTCAAGAAGAAGAAGATCAATTGTTTATGGTCACTTCTTCCTCGAGCAAAGAATCAAGCAAGAGCTGGTTGATTGACAATGAGTGCACAAATCACATGACATATGACAAGGAGTCTTTTGAGGAATTAAGAGACACCGAAGATAAGAGAGTGAGGATTGGCAATGGTGAACACTTGGAAGTCAAGAGAAAAGGCACAGTAGCTATAACAAGTTATGAAGGTACAAAATTTATTCCAGATGTTTTATTTGTACCTAAAATTGATCAAAATCTCTTAAGTGTTGGTCAGTTACTTGATAAAGGCTATAAAGTATTGTTTGAGAATAAGCAGTGCTTGATCAAAGATGCTAGTGGCAAAGACTTGTTCAATGTCAAAATGAAAGGAAAAATCTTTGCTCTAAATCCGACGGCCTTTATATCCAGAATTAGTGCCACTGAGATTTGGCACAAAAGACTTGGACACATTCATCATCGAGGTTTGCTTCAGATGCAGTCAAAGAAGCTGGTAGAAGGACTCACTAACATTGATGATGACATGCCTCCTTACCGTGCTTGTAATCTTGGGAAGCAACATAGGCAACCCTTTCCTAAACAGGCATGGAGAGCCTAAAAAAAACTGCAATTGGTTCATACTGATCTTTGTGGTCCTCAGCGAACACCATCATTAAATGGTAATCTTTATTACATTGCTTTTATTAATGAACTAACAAGAATGTGTTGGATATTCTTGCGGAAGAAAAAGTCAGAAATTGCGGGTGTATTTTGGAAATTCAAAGCCAAAGTTGAGAATGAAGGTGCATGCTTGATTCAGACTATCAAATCAGATAATAGTAAGGAGTACACTTTAGAAACTTTTAACAGGTTTTGTGAAGAGGCTAGAATTGAACATCAATTGACAGCATCATACACTCCTCAACAGAATGACGTCAGTGAATGGAGGAATAGATTCATTATGGAGATGACGAGATGCATGCTTCATGAGAAGGATCTTCCAAAACGTTTTTGGGGAAAAGCAGCAAACATTGTTGTGTGCTTGCAAAATCGAATTTCAACAAAAGCTGTGAAGGACCTGACACCATTTGAAGTTTGGTATGGTTACAAACCTTCTTTAAAGTTCGTTAGAGTATTTGGGTGTCTTTGCTTCACGTACATTCCACAGGTCAAGCGTGATAAGCTTGACAAAAAGTCAGAAGTTGGCATCTTTGTTGGGTATAGCACTATATCTAAAGCTTACAGAGTTTTTCAACCACATACTAGTCGTGTTATTGTGAGCCGAGATGTTCATTTTGCTGAAAATAAACAATGGAATTGCGAAGAACTGACGAAGGTGAATCAAATTTCTAATGCACCAAACAATTTAACCTTTGGTAGCATGTTAGAAGAGTTTGAAGATGAACGACAAGATTCTTTGGTTGATGATGCACCTGTCAGAGGAGGAGCTTTCGGTGATCGAGAAAAATAAAATCTGGGAGTTGGTTGATTAACCTCTAAACAGAAAGATAATTGGAGCAAGATGGGTGTTCAGAAAAAAGCTTGGAGTTCACAGCATCTAAACAAGGAGGAGTGTTAAAAATCACATATTTGTTTATACTGCTGTCAGTTAATATCTAACTAAATCTCCGTGAGGAGTTAGGAGTTAGATTTAGTTCTTGATTTGAATTAGTTTTAATTTGTTTACTGGCTTATTACCAGATTTTCTGTAGATTCTTAGGTAGATTTTCTAAATACCTTTTTGTATTCTCTGTGTATATAGAGCATTTTGCTCTTCATAATTCAATTATCTCATCAATCGTTCAATCAATCCCTCTTTCACTAACAGATAAGAACACAGCCAGAGGAGGAGGAATAACAGAGGAAACGACTGAATCGGTTGCTGAAACAATTGAACCAGTTGCTGAAAACGGAGAAAGAAAAATCACGAAAGAAACGACTGAATCGGCTGCTGAAACAATTGATCCAGTTGCTGAAAACAATTTGTTCAGTAATCGTCGCACCAGATTTGACAGTAAGGGAGAGGAGAAATCGACATCCATCTGTATGGTTAGCAGATTCCGGTGAAGGCTATGAGAAAAAGGGAAGTGAAGAGATGGTGTACAAACTCCAAAAGGCTCTCTACGGATTAAAACAAGCACCTAGAACCTAGTTTGGTCGAATAGAATCCTACTTCATCAAGGAAGGATTCAATAGCAGTTCCAGTGAGCAAACACTCTTCATCAAGAGGAAGGGAGGTAAAATTCTTATCGTAAGCATTTATGTTGATGATTTTTTATTTACTGGAGACAAGATGAAGAACTATTGGACGAGTTTAAACGTTCCTTGAAGAAAGAGTTTGATATGACTGACTTAGGTCAGATGAGATTTTTTCTTGGAATAGAGGTAATACAAAGATTAGATGCTATTTTCACATGTCAAAGAAAGTATGCTGTTGAAGTTTTAAACCGACATGGCATAGAGAATTACAATTCTGTTTGTAATCCCACTGTTCCAGGAAAGAAAATTGGCAAAGATGAAAATGGTGCAACAGTATATGTAACTTTGTATAAACAAATAGTGGGAAGTCTGATGTATCTCACAACTATTCGTCTTGATCTCATGCTTGTTGTAAGTTTGATTAGTCATTTTATGACATGTCGAACACAAGAACATTTTGCAGCAGGTAAAATGGTTTTAAGGTACTTGAAAGGTATGGTAGATTATGGTGTATTTTATAAAAAAGGAGGAGTCGGTGATTTGACTTGATTGACTGGTAGTGACTGTGCCGGAGACATGGAAGAAAGCAAGAGTACTTCAGGCCATGTGCTTGTGATTAGTGGAGGAGCAGTAGCTTGGTCTTCTCGTAAGCAGCCTATAGTCACCTTATGAACCACAGAAGCTGAGTTCGTTGCTGCTAGTTCCTGTGCATGTCAAGCTGTTTGGATGAGGAGGATACTCAAAGAGATTTGCCACTCTCAAATAGAAGGAACAAAGCTAATGTGTGTAATACTTCAACTATTAAGCTATCCAAAAATCCAGTTCTAAACGGACGTTCCAAAAACATAAGAAAGCATTTCGGAAGTTGCGTGAAGAACTTTGTGTGCAGAGTTTTTCTGACTTGAACTAATTCTTGACAAAGAAGAATAAGTTTACGGGAGAAATAGTTAGAAGAATTTGATTAGATAGAAAAGAGTTACAGTCTTTTTAGGAATTTAGTTTAAATATTTCTCAGATTTGTTTACCAGATTTGTTTCCATTTCCAAGATTTGTGGATAGAAACGTTTCTATGTAGGGTTATTTGTAAGGCTATAAAAGCCAAGTTCACTGTTCAATAATATTATCACCTCAAACTTCAATTGTTTATGTTTTTGGCTTTGTTATGTCAAAACCAAAACCAGTACTTGTCACTTCTACCTTCCCACAATGGCAAACTCACTCTCTCTAATTACTTTAATCTATTTTTCTTTGTTCGAGGGGCAACGAGGCTGAGAATCGGTTCATGAGTTGCTTTTTGGCTCGAATTGCCGGGAAGGATATTGATTGGCGCTTGTGGGCATTCCAAGGAAGTTATATGTACAGACGGTGTCATAAGGATCCTGATGAAAGTTTTGGTGTTATGGATCACTCTTGGACTAAAGATAGTACCCCCATCACTTAAACAAATGCTTCCACTTATCAACAGAGTGAATCCAGGTTAATTTGTTGCTTCTCAATCTAACCGTGCATTATAACAAATCAAACCTCTATATATTTCTTTAGTTAGAATTTGAAACTAAAGCTCTTTTCTTGCGGATCCTAATTCTAAAGCACCAATATCATACATAATGCTGCATCCCGTATCAAGGCAATGTGTCAAATCCGAGGACAAAGGAGGAGTTGAACTCGGCGATTGTGCCACTCCGAACCAATGGAACCATATTGGAGATGGACGTCCCGATGAAGTTGTTGTCAAACGGGCAGGGTTTGAAATCTGTCGGAGATGGAAAAGTACTGGTGGTATCCGACGAATGCTTTGGCGATGGAAGCAATTGGACGGTGGCTTCGAAAGCAAATCTCCAATTGGCCAACAAAATTGGCGAAGACAATTTTTGTTTGGAGAAGGAATCTGATACTATAGTTGTTGTGAAGAAATGCATTTGCTTTAAAGACGAGGGAAGTTGCACGGATGATCCTCAACCCCAATGGTTCAAACTTGTTCCAACAAATGTTGCTTAGTCTATTAATTATTTTAAAATAGAAATTTAGAATTTGGTCCAATATACTAGTAGTTGTTGGAATTTGAATTTAGGGTTGGCATGAGAGTTTTGAAAGTGCGGGAGTCATATTAGGGTTGTCGATTTTATGCTTAAATTCGTAGTTAAATGGTCAATAATTATTTTCTATTATTTATCATATGTCCAATCTTTTATACGATCATTATTGTTGGTATTATTTTTCATATATGTTTGTACGATAAATAAAATCGGTTATAATTAAGCACGAGCATGAATAGAATTAGAGATAAAATAGGGGCCAATTCAAAGTCGGGCATGTCATATATTTATTCTTCCCAATACATAAGCAACTCACAATGTGTTGGTTTCAACAAGTTCAAACCATTGACTTGGGGTGTCTTGGAGGCAATTTGGAGCACCGTCAGTGCAAATACATGAGTTTGTCACAATTTTTGAAGAATTAGAGCTTTCAACCTGCAAGCAAAGACTCTTCCCATCTTGAGTTACGGTGGCCAAATGAAGCTTAGTGTTTGAAATGGCTGTCCAAGAACTCTGAGGGCCAAAGCAATCTGTTGTGAGAGATGGCATAAGGCCTTCTCCGCTCGTCTTTAAGCATAAACCAGTGCTTGACATCCTAATTGGAGTGCTATCATTGTCATGAGTCCATCGACTTGAGATGGAGCAATTACCCATGAAAATATCTTTGTTGTCATTTGAGACTTGGATGCATTGGCCACTTTGTAGATGATATATAACATACGAGAACGATGCATTGGAATTTGGATCTGTACACCGTAAAAAAATGTCTTATACACTTGTTATAGATCCATATATTCAAAATCGTTAATATATTTATACTTGCCTTGCAACATAGTCTGCAATAGTTGAAACTTCTGGACCAAGTTAGGATTTTTAATTTGAGTCCAATTGGAGTCGAGAACTCCAAAAGTTTCTGCCGGCTCTGCTTGACCTTCCCTATAATAATAGCTACCTTGCCAAGTCCATAATGCCCAATCTAAATCTTCTTGTGCAAGATGAGCTGTGAAGCAACTCATGAACCGATTTTCTGCATCATTAACCTCTCTCTGATCGTACCCATATTCGATGACAAACAAAGGAAATTGGTTTGTCCTTCTCTAACAAATTCAGCATGGTCTACAAAGCCATTGATAATATTTACACAAATATTATTTAGTGGCTGGTTTATAAATTTACTCTCTTGATCTCCACTAAACGAATACAAGTGCACCTCAAAAACCAACTTGTTGTCTAAGGTGCTTACGTTCAAGGGCTTCTCTTTTAAGCATCGAAGATCATTATCAAAATTTAGGCCCGAAACAATCACTAAAACATTTGGGTTAATGTTGTGGATTGTTGTTACTCCTTGAGTAACATAATTGTTCCAATCATTTACATTTTCATTGGTTCCTCGTATCTCGTTTCGTAGGCTCATTCCAACCACCTAAATGTCATAACAAAAGAATGTTCTTTTGTTAGTGAAAAATTGTACAAGTCTTTAAATGTTTGAGTTTAGTTTCAAGAGTGTGAGAATTTTCCTTAATTTGTACGTACCGTTGGTTTCTTGGAAAAGCGTTGAGCAACTAAGCTAAGACCTTGTAGCCATTCTTGAGGGTCAAAATAGCGGTCTCCAAAAAATCCATTGCCATCGTCAAGAGAGCAACACCATATTGGCTGACTCATATGGTTGTCGGCAATCACCATTAAACCACTCTCTCCAAGCACATCAACAACAGCTTCATAGGCTTCAGCAATAGTCTTGTTCAACACAAAAGGATTATATTGAGCCAATCCGGCTTTTGCTTGCTCTAAATCGAGAAGGTCAAAATTCTCTTCAACTGTCCTATTTTCATAACGAGTGAACATTTGAGTTGCATACGTGAGTCGTACACAATTAAACCTCAACTTGATTGCCTCATCTGCCAGCTCTTTTAATGGCCTGTGGTTGAGACCTTCTATTAGCATGTTCTGTGTGTGGGAAGGCCAATTCACGCACACAAGCTTCACTCGACGCCCTGTTGTCGAATCAACGATCCACCTTCCTTTTGTTGACAACGGTAAAGAATAAACAAAAGGAGATAAAAACACAAACAATGCTAGAAAAAGTACAACTTGAAAAGTTTTTCCCATTTTTTCTTCTCTTTTATGAATCGGGGCGAGAGAAGCATAGCCCAAAGGTTGCTTATATATCTCATAAATAGGTTGAAAAGTCACGTCGTTAAGCTCAGGCCAACTTTTGAAGGGACGAGCCATTACACCGAACTGGTTTTGGATTAGTGGATCATTCTAAAATGTTTGATCAAGCTTTTAGGGTCGACCAAAATTGTAACGCGTCATGTCTAGGATAAATCAAGATTTGTAATGCAGATTCGATACCTAATGACTCTGAATCTTGGACAAGAGACATTACAAATTGTATTAGGGCAGTATCTCTCCCAGTAAGATGTGGTTTGAAAACGAACTAATGTGAAAGTTGGTAGGTATGTGACACCCGAGCAAATGAGGGGTACATGAAGGAACCGAAACCACTTCCAAACGAGAGGTATCCTGAGGATATGATAGCCAAGAAATACTTTAGAACATGGATAGTCACTCCATATACCAATAAGGTTCATTTTCCTTTTCCATAGCTAAATAATAAGAACTTCATGGTTAGGTATGTTTTGCTTGGAGCAATTCTATGATGCACGTAACCTGTGGAGAATTTTTCTAGGATGCATGTGAATAGGGAAAAAACATGCAGGAAGAACTCGAGTTAGTTCGCGAGAATAGCTTTCACTCTTAGAAACAAAGAGTAGGTAACCTGACCATGTCAAATCCTAGACATGAGTCGTTACAAAGGTTTGGGAGCCACACTCACTCATGGTCAAACAAATTCACTGTTGATCCAATGTACAAATATAGTTACATAAGCAAAGTAAAATGTGATATAATCCAAAAAATGTATAAACAACCTACGTACCATAATTAAAAATTTTAATACTCCTCATAATTAAACACTACAAACTTAGTAGCCATTTGGTTTCAAATTCCTCCCATAATTCTTCATTAATCGGAAATTTTTACATGCTTATCACAATCTTCCCTTCGAGTCATTTGGGCTTTAGTAATGAAAGTAGATGAGCAGTTCATTTTAACCTCAAACCTTTTCTTGATGAATCCAATTATTTTGACCCTTCCTGGTATTTCCGTGTGGCTACTGATATTCAAACCTCCCGACTTCAAATCCTCCATCAAACTCAGACCCTTATCCATTTCCCCTGCCTTGATCTCTACCGTCACATTCATCGTCATCGTGTCCTTTGCCTTCGTCAATCCGCCGGCGTCTCCCCCTCTCCGATCACCTCGCCGTGGTAGTAAATCACCATCGTGGCTTTTGAGTATTTGAACGATGCGACATTAAAATTCCGCACGAAGACACTAGCCACAACGAGTATGCCACCGTTTGAGAAGGAAGAACGGTGAGTTTTAAATGATTATTAAGAAAAATTAGATGAAAACCAAGTTAAGCGTTAGATTTTGACTTAGTAATAACTCAGGCAAACCTAAACAATCGTAGTGTCAAGTTATGATATTATTGAATACTCAACCTGGCTTTTACAACTTTACAAATAACAATAGAAATAATAACTATATGACAAATAATTAAACTAAATACCAAACAATACTCTTAAAAGAACCCTTCGCCCCTCTCTTTCTACTCCCTGTAAACACAACCTTCGTACCACTTCATGTTAGAAGAATTTGATTAGATCAAAGAAGAGTTAGAGTATTTTATGGAGTTAGTTTAAATATTTGATTTGTTTACCAAATTTGCTTACAAGATTTTTGTTTCCAAGATTTGTGGTTAGTTTCTATTTAGGGTTATTTGTAAGACTACAAAAGTCAAGTTCAATATTCAATAATATTATCACTTCAAGCTTCAATTGTTTATGTTTCTAGCTTAGTTGTGTCAAAACCTAGCAATTGGTATCAGAGCCGCAATTTTTTAGTGATCAAATAGAGAGAGTGTGAGTGAAGACAAAGTTTTAACGAAGATCCCTCACTTCGATGGTCACTTTGAGCATTTTAAGGATGGAGTGAGCGGATGGAATATTTGCTCAGAGCAAAAGGTCTATGGAGTGTGGTGGAGATTTGTTTCTCAGGTCAAGAGGAAGGAACAATGTTGACTGAGGCACAAAAGGGCCACCTTGTTGATGCTAGACTCAAAGATCACCAAGTAAAGCGTTACCTCTTCCAGGCAATTTATCGAACTGTCTTGGAGCAAATCTTGGATCGTCGCACAGCCAAGATTGTTTGGGACTCAATGAAACGAAAATTTTGTGGAAACTAAAAAGTGAAGAAATCTTTTCTTAATGCATTAAGGAGAGAATTTGAGATCCTAGAGATGAAGAATGATAAAAGCATCAAAGATTATTTTTCAAGAGTGATGATAACCTCCAACAAGATGAGAAGCAATGGAGAAGATATACCAGACGAGAAAATTGTAGAAAAAATTCTGCGTACCCTGACTGAAAAATTTAATTATGTTGTAGTATCCATGGAGGAATCCAAAGATACTGATAACATGTCCATTAATGAATTAAAAAGTTCATTAGTGGTGCATGAACAAAAATTGTGAAGATCCTGACAGAAAACACACATACGAGGAAGTGATTTTTGCACAATAACGTTATTCTCTAAGAGAGACAATACTTAGAAAATAAACAAAACCAACTTACTTATTTTATTCAACTTGTTACACAGTATATATACAGACAGAGAGAAACACTAACTTCTTACGATCTTAGCCACACATTAATAACTGCTAATAACTTCCCTTGATCTTATCCACAAATACTAAAACTGACATAATTTAAAATACAAACAGCAAATACAAATGAATTACGGTTAATACAAGATTAAATAAACTAACAAATCATCTCCTTAATCTTGTATTTCGATCTTCACATTCTTACATTCTTCAAACCAATTCTTTCTCGAAGCACTACAAATTTTTGTCGTCCTATTGGCTTCGTAAGTATATCAGCCAATGAATCCTCAGTTTTTACATGATCCATTTCAATCTCTCTTTTTTGCACACATTCACGAATGAAATGGAACCTCATGTCTATATGTTTGCTGCGATCATGATGAACTGGTTTTTTCGCTAACGCTATAGCAGACTTGTTATCGATATTTAAACAAACTGGATTTACTTCCTTCCCATGCAATTCCTTCAGTAAACGTCCTAACCACATTCCATGACAAGCAGCTGACGTCGCCGCAATATACTCCGCTTCACAGGATGAAAGTGCCTCCATCTTTTGTTTCTTTGAAGTCCATGTAATTGGATTGCCATATAAGAAAAACAATGTCCCCGTAGTGCTCTTTCGATCATCTATATCTCCAGCAAGATCACTATTACTATATTCGATTAATCGATTTTCTACTTGCTTTGCCTTCACATAATGACATCCAATATCAATGGTTCCTTTCACGTATCTGAGTATTTGCTTCACAGCTTCCATATGAACCATAGTCGGAGCTTCCATATAACGACTCATAGCTCCAACGGAATATGATAAGTCAGGTCGTGTGTTCACTAAATAATGAAGACTTTCGATAATACTCTTATAAAGAGTGGAATCAACAGATGGACAATTACTCGCTTTGCTTAGCTTTGTTTTCGGCTCCATAGGAAAACATGACACAGATTACAATCCATCATTCCAAGTTTTGCCAAAAGTTTTGCCGCGTAACTCGACTGAGATTTCCTGATTCCATCAACATCTTGTTTAACTTCTATTCCCAAATAATAAGACAGGAATCCTAAATCACTCATTTCAAACAACTTCTTCATTTGTTGGTTGAAGCTCAAAATTGATGGTGTTATTATAACACATGCGGAAGCAATTTGGATCTTAGGCACTTTTAAAACATCAATTATTGTAAATTACTAGCATGTTTATAAGTATTAAAACTTAATGAGTTTAAATACTAACCTTTTGTAGTTCAAACTTCTTTTGCCTCACGAACCGGTTTCGAACCACCACTAGTGTCTTCTCCACTATCCTCCGGCCTTAGAACGAGATTGTGGAATCCGGTGAGTGACTAAACTTGGGAGGGATTTTGTATATGTGAAAGAGAGTGTTTGTGAGAAGTTTTTCTCAAGGTTTTTCATCAAGATGAAGAATCCCCTCCAAGTATCATGATCACTCTATTTAAAGAGTCAAGTTTGCATGTTCATGCAAACTTGAGATCACCAAATTTTGACACTTAAAATTCCACTCAAATGTTTGGGATTATGTGGCAAGCATGCATGTTTGAGTTAACCAAATTTTGACACTCAAAATTCCACTCAAACGTGTGGGGTTTATTTGGCAAACATGCAAGTTTGGTTAAACCAAATTTTGACACCTCAAATTTCCACTAACATGGATTTTTCCATTAGATGAAAGTCAACATTTTGACTTTCTTCATTTTAATTCAACAATTAATTTGAATAATGAATTTCAAATTAAAGTAACATTAAATGATTAATTAAACTATTTAATTAATATTTAATATTAATTCAAATGCCAATCCCAATCAATTCCGACACATAATTGATTAAGATATTTAAATCTTATTTAAATATCTCAGATTCTCTCTTTTCGTTTAATTCGTAAATAAAACAAAATTGCGGTTAAATATATCGTATATATGTAACGCATATTCCCTAATTTGAATTTGAACACTTCGAACTCACTCGTCACACTGTTCTATGGTTTAGTTCGATATGAGCTAGCAGAGGGACCTAATGGACCGATAGATCATGGGCTCCAACGATCCAAGATTAACCGGTTAAACTCATTAACCTGGTTAACCAACATTCGTTAACCACTAGGACACTCCACTATAGCCTAGTAGTTGCACTCCCCTCACTATAGATATATTTCTGTCCATCTGATATAACCATGATTAGTAAGTCGATCCTTCACAGGTTGTTCGTAACTAGAGCTGGGTCAATTTGCCGTTTTACCCCTGAAGTTACTTCTTGTTCCTTATGTCTTACTGATCCTCTAATGAACAATTGGTTTGTGGTCCAACCAGTAAACCGAATCCCTCTCAGGCCAATGAGAGGGTGGGGCCCCTTGTTCAAGACCTGGAGTCAGTGCTTAAGGGAACTACCTTTCTTCTATCCCTAAAAGTGGGTAGGAGTGAATTCCGACTTGCACCCCATGTCCCCAGCCATTCACCCAGTCTTACCCCTGAAATGGGAGGCCTGTTGAGTCGGCGAACTAGAGTTAACTTTACAATAATTAATAATAAAGTATGTTGACCCGACAATAATTAAATCATCAACATAAACTCCAACTATCTGAATTTTATTTTCTTTCCAACGTGTATACACAGAATGCTCTAAAGGACACTTTTGAAATCCAAGAGACTTTAAGCAATTATCCAATTTTGCATTCCAGGCACGAGGTGCTTGACGTAAGCCATACAATGCTTTCCTAAGTCGTAAAACATTCCCTTCTCGACCTTTCACAGCAAATTCTTCTGGTAGATCTACATAAACCTCTTCCTTCAACTCACCATTAAGAAACGCTGACTTGACATCCATATGATGAATCTCCCAACTCTCCTGCGCTGCTATAGCAATCAAGACTCGCACTGTTTCAAGCCTTGCAACAGGTGCAAATACCTCATCAAAATCCACTCCATATTTCTGGACAAAACCATTTGCGACTAAACGGGCTTTATACCTCACGATCTCCCCATTCGAATTTCTATTCAACTTACATACCCATTTCAACCCGATTGCTCGATGTCCCTTTCGTAGTTTTGCGAACTCTCACGTGCCATTTTTTTTAATAACAGACAACTCTTCTAGCATTGCTTGCTGCCATTTTTCATTGTCTCTTGCTTCCATATATGAATTTGGCTCCTCAAGTGAAAGAAAACACATCCCAGCTTCTTCATTCTACTCAATAGAATCAGAGTAAATTTCTCTTTACGATCGAAATTTTCTTGGACTAGATGAGACGTATGAATCGTCTCCTGGTGATAAATCATTTGCTGGTGATGAATCGTCTTCCAATAGAGTCCCTGATTATTCTCCCCGCTCTTCTAAAATGTCCTCGTCATTCACATAGACCTGTGGATCATAATGAACAGCGAATTTACCACCTTCCTTCTTATTTTCTTCCAATAGTTGCACATCCCATTTATATTCTTCTTCTTATAGAAACTTGACATCTCGGCTGATATGAAGTCTTTTTGCCTTAGGATCATACAAACGATAAGCTTTTGAACCTGCATCATATCCC